ATAAATAATTCATTCAAACAATTTTTCTCTATTTTTCATTTTAGTACATCATTTTCTTTTGTTATATAATTTTAATTTATTGTTATGTATACTAATGCATAAGTCTTTTGGTAAATATTGTGCTAAAAAAACGATCATGAGCACCAAATTGAGAACTCATGTAAATAGAATATCTCGTAAGTCCTTAGACAAAGAAAACTTTGAATGTCTTTATTATGGCTCGACCAAACGAGCTTATTTTTTTACCAAGGAAAGATGCATGTTCACACTCCAAATCCATATGGGTAAGGCTATTGAAAACCTTTGTTAAGTATATTGTTTTTTTTTCTATCTGCGAAAAAGTAAAATTTTCTTATTGAGGTCAGTAGTGATACTTAACTAAGATTTTCAATACTCTTGTCCATATGAATGTGGAGTGTGAACATGCGTCTATCTTTGGTAAAAAAATGAGCTTGTTTGGTCGAGCTATAATGGAGATATTCAAATTTTTCTTTATCTAAGGACTTACGAGGCACACTATATGCCTATGAATAAATCTTTAAAGAAAAACTCGTACGAATACTCATCAGCGTATGCGTACATAAAGTGATCCGCAAGTACTCGCGTGAGTAATATGAGTACTCACACTGGATAGTTGTGCTCGCTTGAGGAGTACTTTCACTCAGGTGAGTTTATCTTACTCCTTATGTATAAAAATAAATATTTTTTCTCCCGGCTATTTGGACTTCTTGTATGTTTTTTACACGAAGAGTGAATGAAAAAAGAGAAGAGCCTTTAGATTCAATACCTCACCACTACCAATGTTCACCTTATTGCATACATACACAAAAAAAATTTTATCATAGGCTTTTGCATCGTTTTTTTTTTCATACAAACAGAATGATAAAAGAGAAGAGCCTTTAAATCCAATATGTCACGATTACTAACGTTTAGTTTATTGCATATATACACAAAAAAAAAATTTTCTCATAGGCTTTTGCATCGCTCTGTTTTATTCATACAGACAAAATGATAAAAGAGAACCTTTACGTTCAATACCTCACGATTACCGACGTTTACCTTATAGCATTTATACACAAAAAAAAATTTTCTCGTAGGCTTTTGTATCGCCTTTTTTTCATACAGACAGAATGATAAAAGAGAATGACCTTTAGATTCAATACCTCACGATTACTGACGTTTACCTTATCGTATATATATATATATATATACACAAAAGAAATATTTTCTTGTAAGTTTTCGCATCACCGTTTTGTGGAACTAACATATATTTTCGAACAAAATGGTGAGTGTAAGTTTTAAATTGAAGTTTTACGGCTTCCTCCTCCCTTCGCCCATAGTACAGACTTTAGTAATTGGATTTAAATAAAGAATATTTACAACAGCCTTGTTTGATGTTTAATTCAATGCTTATAAAAATAACAATGTTCAATTAAGAAAAACGAAATACAAAAACTAAAAATAACGAGCGAGTACCAACACTACAAACAAAAAATAGAGCATCCATTTAAAAAAAAGCAAAAAAAATTCTGTTTAAAATGTTCAAATAAATAAGATCGATCACTATAGTGATTGGTCATCTTGGAAAACAACTGTAGTCTACGAGAGATTTTTCTTTTTACGTATTTTGTAATAGTTTAATAAAATTAAAGAATATATGTGAGTTCTACATTTCAGCACCTAAGAAGCTACGCTAACAAGCGTTTTTATCATAGAGATAGAATGAAAAAAAAAGCGAAGAACATTTCGGTTGAATGATGCATACTTAACTTCGTTTATTTTACTGCATATGTTTAAAAAAAATTTTTTTTTTCATGGTTTTTTCGTCTGACTCTACTTTTCAAAAGATGGAATAAAACAGAAGATCCTCTCGATTTAATATATTACGACTAAGTGCCTTTATTATCTTTTCAATATAGAAACTAACATGTTTTCTTCTGCACTGTATGATCAGCCTATATTTCTTCATCTTTTCTCTTCAGTTCTATATTGTTGATCTCTCTGTTATTTCTGTTAATTTTCTGATTTGTTTGAGTGGGTCATTCATTCAATTATCTATTCTTTGCATGACAGTGTTATTTTTCTCTTTTATTTATTATAGTAACTGATTCTTTCTTCATAAACGTTTCATTTTTATTCATGCATAGCTTGACATTTTTTCCGTATAATCAATTAAGATTTAATATAGTTAGTAGATCGACAATCGAAAAGAGTGACTGAATATAAGTCGATCTTTAATATTTTAGTACATTGATCGAAATATTTTACTCTGACATAGGCAACACAGATACATTTCAAGCGATCAAACATGTCGTCGCATGGACAAAACGTTGCGATATTCCATTATGCTAGATATTTCTATATCTGAAGTCGACTTCTTAAAACACGATCTAAGGGTGTGGAATTTAGGGTGTAGGTGCGAGTTTGGAGTTTAGAGTCCAGGTGCATGGTTTAGAGTTTGGATGTGGTTGTAGGATGTGAGTGTGGAATTTAGACTGTGGCTGTGGGGTTGATAAGTGTGGATTTGGTATGTAGCTGTAGACGTGGAGCACGTGTAAGTATTTAAGGGAGATGGGTGTAATGCAGACCGTTATAACCAGCCTAACTCACACGAGATTGGCCGCTGTCCTCAAATCACGTCCACAGTTGCACCTATATCAACAATAACACTCAAATTTCAAATCCAAACCCTAAACCATGTACATTCACTCTAAACCCGACGCCCTTAGATCATATTTTAAGAAGTCGACTTCAGATATAGAAATATCTAGCATAATGAAATATTGCAACTTTTTGTCCATGCGATGATCTGTCCTAGTGCTATTAATTTCATGTTAGGCTTTAGTCTTTCTATTTGATGATTAGAGCAAAATTATATTGTCACTTACTTTTTTAGTGTTTCTATTCACATCAGTAGAGTTAAGAAAGAAACGAATTGCGATAGTTAGATATCATTAATAAGTTTCCTCTCCATTTTCACTTCTTTTCTGTGTTTTCCGCATATACAAAGTTGAATAGATATAGAAGATATTTGTTAAAGAGTAAGATTTAATAAAAAGAGTAGAAAAACAATTTATTAAATAAATGTAGCATACTTTTCAATAACATACTTAATAATGGTATCAATGGAGTATAGTAAATTTTGGATGATATCTTAGACGTTAAAATATAGTTTTTCTGTCTATCTAACTTTGTATATTCTACAAGTACCGTAGAACTCAAAATGGCCCAAAATCTATTAAACGAATCTTTACATATGATACTTTCACAGAACGTGTAGTGGTTAGATGAACTTCTTGTAGTTAGAATGATTTTTATCGTATATCTTTACATATTACTAAACGTTCGATTTTTGAATTGAGTGTATTCCTAGAGAGAACAATCATATTCGATATGTCTAGATTGCTTGACGAATAGGTTAGATGAATTCTTATAAGAATTCAATCTTGTTATCATCTTGCAACAAATAACTGATTAGTTTGATTTTGATCTGTTAAAATGCATATCAAATTTAGTACTCAAAATAATTCTAAAAATTTGATATAGGTTTCAATAGATCAAAATTAAACTAATAAATCGTTTGTTACGAGATGATAACAAGATTGAAATAATTAAGGATTTATCAAAACTATACTTTAAGCAACCCAAATCTATGGAATATGAATTTTCTCAGTAAGGATCCACTTTATTTAAAAATCGAATGCATAAAAATCCATTAAACTTCTTTAAATAAAACTGAAATCGTAAAAATCATACATTTTGACGATTTTATTTTCGTTAAAACTTCGACGCATTTTTACGAGTTTTTTTTTATTGGTAGTCTGATTGATTAGTCGCATCTTATTGTTTCATCGTAAATTCCTATATAGAAAAAGATGCAACGAGAACTTCCTAGCAGTACGCAACATACATGGATAATTCATTATGTGCCTGATCGACATCCAAGAATATTTACACAAAACTATTTTGGCATGTGCTGAGATGGATAATACATTCAAGTAACATAATGATCTAGAAACTCTGTAGTATCGATGCTTCATAAGATTAGATTTGCTACATTACATTTAGCACACCTTGACTACTACTATAACCCTGACTATATCATCTCTTTACCCTAAAGGAGGTGTGTTTGAGCTTACTCCGTGAGAATCCATAAGATCTTTTTGCATGATTGTAGATAATATAAAATTTCACTTGTGTAAAAAATGTCGAATTCGCGCCGTTTCATAGTAATATTAACTGGAAGTATTCTGGTATTTTTATATAGCTTATTCTTATATCAATCAATCTCAATTGTACGATTATCATCCAAATGGGAACATAGAGTTGTCTCTTCTAACATATTTATTCCCTTAGAATCCAACTTTATGCGAAGGAATAGGCTCAGATGGCTACGATTGCAAGATGCCTACCATTCTATAAATATAAATTCTTTGTGGACTACATCTCGCAACTATAATGAACGAAGGCTTATCTATAAATGTCGTTGGTTCTGCGGTGGCCTGGGTGATCGATTTCGTGGAATTATCACGTGCTTTGTTTTAGCATTAGTTTCTGATCGTCAATTTATAATTGATATGACTCATCCAGTTAATCTCAAAAATTATTTATTGCCTAATATGTACAACTGGACGCTCGATAGTAGAACATCGAATTTGATTCGTTCTCACAAATTCATCCATGCTATGGATGATGGACGGAAGTTTGTGAATGAAATTCAAAATACACAATTCATTGAGAGTTGGGCAAAATATGATGACATAGAAATATCTACAAATAAGGATTTGGTTTCTGATATTTTTCGAAATCCTGTTATTCGAAATAATAAAATAATTGCCATGTTCTTGCTCAATATACCTTCAGAAAAACTGACCTTGCATAGTTTATTTCCTTTCTTATTCGAAATTCTATTCCAACCAAGTCTTGAAGTTGTCAATGCATTAAAACCGATTTTTCAAATTATTGAAAATGGCTACACGCTCACTTGTATACATTTACGCATGGGATGGAACCCGTCCAATCCGTTAGATGTTCGTTTACAAGATCGAGATTTAGCCGTCGAAGATATAATAGATTTCTTGAATAGAACAAATTTACGAAAAATGCAACGTACACGACTTTTTGTTACGAGCGATTCTGAACAAGAAGTGTCAAAAATAGTTTCCCAATTTCCAAACCAAACTATAACAATACCTGGTCCAATCCTTCATGTTGATCGTCCAACTAATGCTACTCATCTTGTTCGCGGATTTCTTAAAGTAATTATCGATTTTTATGCATTAGGAGAATGCCACACAAGTATTTTGACACCTAGTGGATTTTCAGCATTTGCCAATCGACGACGGACAGAACCATACCGAAACTTATTCAAATATGAGAACTCGAATAGACGAATTGAACGTTGCCACGATATCTACGAATACGGACAGCCACCCAAAACGACGAAAGATCAATTGTATTGTAGAGTAATTTTCAATTGTTCTTCTCGCGAAATGTGAGTGAGTTGAGAGTGTGCGTGTGGGTTTTTTCTTCCTTCGCATTCTGTAAAGAATTGAAACATGAATCCTGTGCTACTAAAAATTGTTCTTTATAATAAAAGATAGTTGAGAAAATCATGAAATATAAATTGTCTTATTCTTTATGACATACTTGATTCTTCACATTGAAATTGTCGTTTGGTTTGATCAAGTCAATGCACAGTCATCTTTTAGTCTATATAAAGAAATATCCATAGATTGAATATTACATGAAACGAACAAAATCAAAACATGTCTTCTTTATTGTTGCTATGAATTTATTGATGAAAAATCAAAGAAAATATTTCAAACATAATCAAAGAAAATATTTCAAACA